AACTTCAATCAGGATAGAAACATACTAACAATGAAAATTTGTTTCATAAAGGTTGATAAACAAATCAGGTGTAGCTTCAGCTTTTTCTTAAACAGGCAAGTTTGCATAAAGTGAAAATTTTTGGGATGGTTGGGTATTTGAGTAATTGGTAAAATTGAGCTTTTGTACCTATCACCTTTTCAGAATGCCCATGAATGCAAGTTAGATCAGGTTTTATTCATCACCAATTTGTCAACACATATCTGAATAAATGAGTTGACATATTGTCTATTGAAAATTTATTTCTTAATTTTTATGATTTTGTGAGCTTACTTCTTTATACCTTCTTATGAATGCTTTGTAAACAAATGAGATTTATATCTGTATATCTTTGTCTGTAAGTGATATCCCCTCGATGTGGGTTCCTGTCCATGGTGAGGGGACCTCCCAGAGATGGTTTAGTAACTTCTCTTTACCATCCCTGGGATCTGAACCCACGTGTTTGCCGTGTGTGGTGTCCCCGTATGCCGGAAAGGGGATCCTGGTAGTTGAGGGGCAACATAACGTCCCCAACACACTGCTTTGGCCCCTGCTTCGGATAAACGGGAGGCTCAAATCAGGCTCCGTTTGAGTCAATCGGCTGGTGGTTGAGTCATTCTTGACCTCGGCTTGGAGTCAACCGATCGATGCAGACCGGGCAGACACGTCAGACAAGATGTGCTCTTCTTGACTGCATTGTGAGGGTATAGCTCCTGGGAAACCCTGGTGTGACGGTCTATGGGAGTCTCCCATGTGACGGCATCCCCTTGTTGGGCCCCATGGTGGGTGGGGTCACTAGAAGCTGAAATAATATTATTTAATCATGGATCATAAATCTTCAAAAAATACAGACAAACCAGAAAACATGAATGAAAACACTGCCAGTCAGTTATCGTACTTAATAGTGCATGCTACTGGGGAAAAACCTTTGTCAAAATGTTCCCCTTTTTTGATTCAGAAGTTATTTGAATCAACGATCGGGCATCTGGAAAAAACGCAAAAATTGAGGTCAGGAGACCTACTTGTAGAAACTGCCTCACCTCAACAGTCAGCAAAACTTCTAGCTGCAAAGAAATTGGGAGACATTGAAGTCACAGTCGCACCACATGGAAGTTTGAACTCATCATGTGGTGTGATATCGGAGGTTGATCTGATGTCTGAAGAAGAAACAGACATTCAGATTGGCCTGTCAGACCAAGGTGTGACTGCCGTTCGACATATCTCCATTCGTCGAGATGGCAAGTTGATCTCGACCAAACATCTTATCCTCACATTTAACAAGCCGATATTACCAACTTCCATTACTGCAGGATACCTGCGCTGTCCAGTTCGTCCATACATTCCAAATCTGCTGCGTTGTTTTAAATGCCAGCGATTTGGACATTCTCAAACATCCTGTTGAGGGAAGAACATATGCGCACAGTGTGGAGTTGAAGGTCACCAGAGTACTGAGTGTACCACTACTCCATGCTGTGTGAACTGCAAAGACGCACATCCCGCCTACTCCCGCAAATGTCCTGCATGGCAGACAGAAAAAGAAATCCAGCATGTAAAAACAGTAAACAACTTACCTTACCCAGAGGCCCGTTGTATGGTCACTTCAAGTGCACCACTAAAACAAAAGACATTTGCTGCTGCTTTGAAATCCACAAAGACATGTGGAGTTCAAACCGACATTTCCGTTTCCCCAAAGGAATCTCTCACTCGGCATGCTAAATGTTTACTGATTCCATCAAAAGAAACACCAGAAAAGGAGAGTATAAAACCAAAAACACCCCTACCTAAAACAGGGGTTATAACAAGAAACTTGGGTTCAAAAAAGGCCAGTAAGAACCCACTAAACAAGCAGAGAGTGAAAGTGGCTCTCTCTAAATGTAAAAAATCAAAAGCCCACTCTATGAGTGAGTTTTCTGATATCTCTGATGAAGAGACTAATCAGGAGGTGACAAAACCCACATCACCTCCAAAAGAAAAACCCCCTGTTAGATTAAAGAGAGATACTCTCACAAAGAATGTTGCCTCAAACACATAATGGGTTATAAAATAACCCAATGGAACTGTCGTGGTTTTCGCAACAACTTCTCTGACATTAAACACTTGACATCATCTACCCAATCTCTCTGCGTGGCACTCCAGGAAACCCATCTAAAACCTGGAGAAAATATTTCTTTAAAAGGATTCAATCTTTACCGCAAGGATGATGATAGCCACAACCGTGCCAGTGGAGGTGTGGCTATTGTAGTTTCAAATCACATCCCATCCTTGCCGGTACAAATCACCACTAATTTGCAAGCCGTGGCAGCTAGAATATCTATTGGAGTAACTGTCACAGTTTGTTCTATATACTTGCCACCAGATGTCAGAGTGAATGAGAATGAATTGGATACTTTGGTTGAACAGCTACCAACACCATTTCTTTTACTGGGTGACTTCAATGGTCACAATCCTATGTGGGGCAGTCCTGACATCAATCGTCGAGGCAGAGCCATCGAGAGATTTATAGGTAATCACCAACTGTACCTATTTAATACTGGAGAAGTGACATACTTCCATGCCCCATCAAGAACGTTCACTGCCATTGATCTATCATTAGCAACTCCGAATCTGTTTTCAGCATTTACATGGGAGGTTGGATCTAATCCACTCTCTAGTGACCACTTCCCAATATTTCTAAAATATCGAGGCAGAGAAAGCTGTGAAACAGCCCGTCCACCACGCTGGAAACTGGAAACGGCAGATTGGCCTGCATTTTCCTCTTTGGCTAACATCACTGAGGAAATGGTCAATACTGCTGATATCAATGACGCAGTTGAAGTTGTCACTTCTAGTATTATACAGGCAGCTGAAAAAACAATGGGGAAAACATCAACCAGATATCCAAAGCATCCGAAACCATGGTGGAACCAGAATTGCGAGGCAGCATTTAAAGCACAAAAGAAAGCATGGGGGATTTTCAGAAGATACCCTAGTGCTGAAAATTTGACTGCTTTTAAAAAAGCAAAGGCAAATGCCAGAAGAGTTAGAAGGCAAAGCCAAAGGGATTCTTGGAGGAAGTATGTTTCTAGTATAACATCATCTACTAGCTCAAAAGCAGTCTGGGATAAAATCCATAAAATCAATGGGAAATATACTTCTTATTCTCTGTCCATGCTAGAAAATAATGGCACAATAGTCAGCGATATACAGGGTATTGTCGATTTATTGGGAGAAACATTTTCGTCTTCATCCAGTAATATTATGTATCCAAGAAATTTTCAGGCTTATAAAGCCCAAAGCGAAAAACAATATTTAAATTTCCATTCTTCATCTAATGAGGAATATAATGTGCCATTCACTAACATAGAACTACATACAGCGATCTCTCGCTCGGGGAATAGTGCTGTAGGCCCGGATAAAATCCACTACAGCATGATTAAAAATCTGTCAAACAATTCCCTTTGTAATCTTCTGAATCTGTTTAACAGAATATGGACAGAACATACTTTTCCTGACTCTTGGAGGCTATCGATCATTATTCCCATTCCGAAGCCTGGTAAAGACCACAAGAATCCCTCAAATTATAGACCAATCTCTCTGACAAGTTGTCTCTGTAAACTCTTTGAGAGGATGGTAAACAGACGTCTGATGTATCTCTTAGAGAAAAATGAATACTTTTCACCACATCAGAGTGGTTTTCGTAGGAACAGAAGTACCACTGATAACTTAGTAAACCTTGAAACATCTATACGCGAAGCGTTTGTTAGACGACAACACTTAGTGTCTGTGTTTTTTGATATAGAGAAGGCCTATGATCGCTGTTGGCGATATGGGATACTCCGTGATCTGGACCATTTCGGATTTCGGGGTAATTTGCCAATTTTCATAAAAAACTTCTTAGAGAATCGAAGATTCCAAGTCAGGATGGGCAACACTTTATCTAGGCCTTTCACGCAACAAGAAGGTGTTCCTCAAGGCTCTATTTTGAGTGTGACTCTGTTCCTAATTAAAATTAACAGCATAGCTAACTGTCTTCCTCCCAGTGTGAAACACTCTTTGTATGTGGATGACTTTCAGATCTCCTGCCAGTCTAGCAACATGAGTTTTATCGAGAGACAACTGCAAACCTCCCTGAATCGCATAGAAAATTGGTCCAAGACCAATGGTTTCAGTTTCAACATAGAGAAGACCTCGTGCATCCACTTTTGCCGAAGGCGTGGTTTGCACCTGGACCCCGAAATATATTTAAATGGGGTTAAAATTCCAATTGTGAATGAGGCTAAGTTTTTGGGTGTTTGTTTTGATCAAAAACTGACATTCTTGCCACACTTGTGCAACTTGAAGAGTAGATGTTTGAAATCTCTAAACCTTTTAAAGGTATTATGCTGCTCATCCTGGGGAGCAGACAAAGTATCTATGCTCAGGATTTANATTAGACTTTTTAAAAGTCATTAATTTGTGTAAAGAAATTTAATTATTTATTTATTTATATTTTAGCCTTTTGTTCGTTCTTGTTTGTTATTAATATGTATATATTTGTTTTTTGTTGCTGTTGCTGTTGTTTATTTATTTATTTTTGTCATATGTTTCTTATTTGTGACATTTATAATTATTTACCATTTGTTATGGCGCAGCTTAGCCTATATGGCTCTTGTGCCAAAAAACCATTACCAACCAACCAACCTGTAAGTGATATATGACTTGTAAGACTGCATATAAACAGTAATTATCAAAATTGATTACTTATTACACATGTATTTGAATATTGTTTTCATATGTGCAGAGTAACATTGAACTTCAGTATTTTAAGAGGAAAAATTTGAATTATTTAAAATGGTGTACAGTACATTCATTTCATTATTATGCACTTTGTTTTTTAAGTTTTTGTAATTGCCATTATTTGCAGCCACACTGTGTTATCAAATTTAAATTAAAAATTTTTTAAGAAATGATATAATTATAATGGTTAATAATAAAACTAAGGAACTTTTTTATATATCCAATAGGTCGTATTATAGACTGTGCCTTTACTCTGGCATACAATCCAAAGTATGATAAGTTATTAGAAGCTGTCCGTGAAGCAACTAATACTGGCATAAAGGTAAAAAAGAATATAAATAATTTTAAATCTATTTAAATATTATGTATATTTAAAGTGGTTTATAATAAAGTTATAAGACTGAAAATAATACTAAAGATAAGATAGTAATATCATGCTGTGAAATTATTGATAATTTTAATTAAACTTAAATCTGTTTACAATAAATAAGTTAAAGATCAAGTAGATAAAAAAAAATAAAATAATTGAAATCATCACAGCAGAGGTCTGTGGTGAATAATGTTAATTTTGATTATTAATAAATGCAAATTAAATAATTTGTTTGACCTCTATTTCTGTGTGATTGCTTTATTTCTAGTTTTTCAAATTATTTGAAAAAATTGAATTGCAGACTGTTTGAATGTTAATGAGCATATTTGCATCTAGAGAGATTCTTGATTCAAGAAAACCATGGAATAGAAGGGTATACTGCAAGTCATTATCATTTATATGTTAGGCTCAAAGTCCAAAATCGCTCATTGAGTGAAAAAAACAACCACAAAGTGAAATTTGCATTGTGGTTTTCATGATATTTGACAACTACGTATTGTGGTGATTAAGAAAAGCCATAACGCGTTCTGAACATTTGCTGATGAAACCACGATACGAAGGATAGGTTGTAACTTGTCAACAGGTGCATTGCAAACACTTGTGGAGTTTGTATTGTGTTGATTCTTGACCTGTGCTGCCATTTCTAGAAAAGGGTAATTACTAGTGATGTAACGAATATTTGGTTACTATTCGGTATTCGGCCTATTTTTCACTATTCGGCCGAATACCGAATATTTAATCACTATTCGGCCGAATACCTAAAAACAGGAGTAATAAATAACAAAAACACAGTAAATTAATCATTTTGGTACTTAGATTTAATGTTATTGAGTTAGTGTTGTTTGTTTATATTTATTTATAACTTGAAACATGCACAAAATAAAAAAGAAAATAATATTAGTCACATGTATTCACAATTTATAATTACAAAGATCAGCACACGTACACGTCTATCGTTGGAGAATCCTCGCACATCTGAGGGTCTGACCCTGCCTATCCTTCTTTTTAAGCGCTCGTCTTTGCTCTTCCCTTTCTCTTTCCTCTATCGCTCTAATCCATGTATGCCTGTGCATACATCATAATACGCGCTCACGATACTTTCGATTCGTCACTTTTCCGTCGTAGAGTTCCCATTTTACAATTACGTGACTCAGCCTGGTGATAACGGAGAAAAGAGACAGATAGGACGTCGATATAAGTCACAGTTATGATTTCACAGATTCGAGACAGCTTGATAGCCCGAACGGCCCCAGGCTTTCGCCCGTGCACGCTAAGTGACTTTCATTACAAGCATTTAGCTTTCCAAAGTCTATGACAACAATTGTTTGGCATTGACGGGCGCGAATTTCAAGCCAATAAGCTGCCTCGACTTGTTCGATTATGTTATCGACTCAATTTCATATTTATTTTCACATTTTCACTTCGCGGTCCTTCTATGTTCTTTTTCCGTTATTTACAAGTGTAGGTCATTTGATATCATAATTTATCACATACAGTAGATCCTCCTATAAGACTGGTTCCTATAATTATGATTCCTATAAGACGGCAAAAAAATTGTGGTGGTATCCGTACACAACGGTAAAATAACTCCTATAATTACGTAAAACATCATCGGGCAGCCGAACTACTTTCCTGCTGTCCGTAGTGCCACGCTACAGACATTTAGGTGGGTAAATTGAGTTTAGTTTCGTCTGTACATATAATCTATATATATATATAAATGGACACGTATGTCCCTATATTTTACTTTTTTGCCAAAACTACACATCACACGTGAATAGTGTTTGTATGTGGTGGTAGCCCCAAGTCTCCATTCGTGCATTGGGGTGGTTGCGTCTCGATAGCTATAAGGGTGCGGGAGATATGAGGCTGAAAGTGGCTTTCTATTTCTTTCTATTTCNTATAATTATATATTAACTTAATTTATTGTAACTTTATTATAATTATATATATGCTTTCCGCCGCCTGGCGCCACGCTACGGAGATTTTTGGTGAACTATCGTCTGTACAGTATGTAAATTAGGTATCGTAAGTCTAATACATTTCTTGTGAAAGAAACATTTCTTATTCAACGGCGATAAAAATTATTTATATTAATGATGTCTCCAAAGTTCAACGAAGTATTCGCAGAAAAATAACATCAGAAATCGCTGCCGCGGTTTGCTGAGTTGTTCCGCGACGAAAACAAGCTTGAGCAATGGTGATGTCGAATGGTGCACACTCGGTAAGTAATCCTACAATTTTTTGTTTATAGCGTAGTTTATATGGATTATTGCCAAAAAAATATATACGTATTTTATAAATGTTGAGTCGGATTAGTCTAGAATCAATTAATTTTATGGAAGAAAACCTTTCAAACAGCTGTAGTCTGTAAACTTCACACGTGTTTGGCTGTGATTCCTACAAAATCGGATTCATAAAGAATGGAACATATCTACCGTCTTATAGGGGGATCTACTGTACTTCCATGACACTCTTGTCTGTCGGCTACAACTGCCAAGAATTAACGCGATTGGCAAAGCGTAGTGACAGCAGACCAATAGAGAATAAGGACCTTGCCATAATGCGGTTTGCGCACCAATTTTTGTACGTGCGTTAATCAAGCCGAATAGTTTGGCCGAATATTCGGCTATTCAACCACGCTCCTGGCCAAATACTCGGCTATTCGGCCTCAGGCCGAATATACTATTCGTTACAACACTAGTAATTACCCTTTTCTAGAGTAATTTCAACCTCTCAGAGTAATGTTTTGGGTAGTCTTTTATTTAGGGTAAATCTAAGGTAAAACTACCCTGTGTTCTGATGCTATTACTCATCACTCCACAAGTTTTGCTGGAAAAAGTTTTAGCCTAAAACCATTCTGTTTTTCCCTGTAACTGGAGGGTTTTAGGATAGGACAACAGAAGCTAAATAAATAATGCAGGTTGATGCTAGGTACATGGGTGTACACTGTACAATGATGATCAGTTTTCGTCAATAATCTGTCCGAAAACAATCGGCGAAATCCGAAACCGACGATAACCGAAGTCAATGAAAACCAAGGTATTACTGTATATTACACCTGAGTAGGATTTTGCTTTTCTCAACCTTCATGCTATTGAGCCATTGGCACTCTCCATATCAGATGTAAATTAATACCTCTGATAAAGCCTAAAAATCCTAAGACATTTTAGTTATTAAAATTTTCAAAAACAGTAAGAATTGTTCTGATTATTATTTCACAATAATAGTACAGGGATCTGCATCATAGAATCGTTCATCTTATTTTTTTTTAATTCAAGTTTGAGCTTAAGCTCAGTGAGTTTTCTTAATTTAGGGTAATTTTCTGCAGTTGAAATTGGTTCGATTGCTTTAGTTAGGGTGCCTAATATTGATAGGGAATGTGCAGCTCCCAGAAATGTTTTAGCTGCTGTTATGAGCATTAATCCATCAGGACTCTATCAGTTAGGAAACAAGGAAAGTCTTTTTGATCAACTTTATGCTCGTAATGAATTTACAATTTCTACAGTAACTTTATTAACATTCAGGACGTACCCTCAACTTTATTAACACTTCGCTCAGCATCCATGTTAACATCTGGAAGTAAGCAAGGGTTTATAATGTATCACTGTAAAAGATACTGTATTGATAAAAATGGAAATGTTGCTCAAAGAACATAAAATGCATGAATAATTAAATGTTGTAAAGTAACCAAGTTAAATTTCTGTATATGGTGAATGATTTTGTTACCTGCTTATAAGATGATTGAAGATAAATAAATCATAATGAAAAAGAAAGTTTTATTTTCTTATCATCACCTTGTTATTAGTTAACATCCAGACTGTGTGGTGGCTTTTAATCATAATAATTCCATTGCACAGTGGTTTTTAACTTTAGCAGCTGATTTTTATTTTATTGTGTATAGTATATCAAGTACGTACCTACAAATACATGTAGTTAGACCTTTAGCACTTTTTAGCAAAACAAAAGAAACAAATGTGTATTTTTCTCCATACATTTTTAAGTATGAAAATTAAATTTCTAGAAAAACTTGTAGAACTAATGTTGTTCGGCATTAAAAATTGTAAATAAAAATGTTTTGAGCCTAGAATCCATATTTTAAAGTTACAAACCACTGTGCATCGTATGATCCTGTATCATGGTTGCATCAGTTAACATTCAGAATGAGTTATCGCTTTTCTTAATCACCACAACACGTAGTTGTTAAATATCATGAAAGCCACGACAGGAATTTTGCTTTGTGGTCGTTTTGAGTTAGCCACAACATGTTGTGGCCATTTTTACAACTGCCATGATACGAATTTTACTTCCTGATCTTTTTTTCACTCAATGAGCGATTTTGGTCTTTGAGCCTAACATATACAGGGTTCCTACACACCTGGAAAGTCGGACTTTCATTAGTGTTCAGAAAAAGTCATGGAATTTCAGGAAATTTTTTAAAAATTGGCAAAAGATCAGGGAATTTGCATGCTTTGCTACCTTGTTGATTTTTGCTGACAATATGCTTGACTAAATGTAGCCATCTGCAGGCAGCAAGAAGTAATGTGGTGCAATACAACTTATGAAAAGGGGTGCAGAAAATTTTCAGGACTCAAAATTTTTCCAAAAATTTACAAAGTACACAAAATGATAAATAGTTTAAATGGTATTATCTATCATTTTTCATTTTAATAATTTTGATTGCATAACAAAACAATTTCTGATTTTTTACTGTTTATTAATATTTTGTAAAGTTCAGGAAATTTATTAAGGGATAAATTTAATATATCTTTTTGTACATGAATTTTATAGAATTTGTTAATGCTTAATAAAAAAATAATTGACTTTTTTTCAAGGCCATGTAGATTTATGGTTGGATTAATAACAAAATTTTAATAATTTGGCAGTTATAAAAAGTATATAACTGTTAATTACAGAAAATAATTAATTAAAATGTTGGAGAAACAAAACATATGTGCATAGTAAGTCAAATGCTGTTTCATTTTGTCAATGTATCATACTGTAAGGGATGTTAGGGTCGGGGAAAGTCATGGAAATTAAAACAAAAATTTGAGTCGGAAATTTGAGTAGAATTTTTTCAACTTAATAATTTATTAAATTTAGAGTGAATATTTTTTAATTTATATGTAATTGATATTTGCTCAAATTATTTGGTTATTAATTTTTACTTTTTGTCTAGCAGTCAGTTTTGCTTTTAATTTTGAATGTTTTTAAGATACAGATACTAAATTGCAAGAGCTACATTTGAGATAAGTTAATAATAACAATTTAATCAAGACATTTCAACAAGATATTGTAATTATTTACTAGTAGATAAGCCCAGATTTCCTGGGCAAAAAATAACAAACATCAAGATTATTAGATTATTTCATACTTCTAATCCTTCTGTTATATTATAGTATTTGATTTATATAACTACAAAGATTATGTTACATAAGGGTTCATTGCACCAAGTGACCAATCTAACACATCTTAATAATTCTTTAAATTGTATACAGTAGAGGAATAAAGAATTTTTAAAATGTGTTATATTGATCACTTGGTGTGATAAACCCTAATGTAAGATAACTTTTGTAGTTATATAAATCAAATATAACAAATATTAAAACGAAAACCATATGAAGAGTTTAGTTATTTTAGTCTACCATTGTCATGTTTATCCCAATACTTGGATGGTATGAAATGGCACATTTTCAATGGTCAAGTAAACAGGAATCGAAAATATGATATGTTAAATTTGTCAGATATCATATTTTTTCTTAATAACTCTAAGAAACTTTACCATTTAAAGCCAAACCTCAGATGGTAATCTGCCAATGAATCAAATTTTGCAAAAAATGGACCAAATATTTAATAAACTTAGCACCCTCAAAAACCACTTTATCTCATAGCATGCAACTAATCAGTAATTGCTATACAGAGATGATGGCATATAGTGAAGGGTCTTCATACCACATTCCAGAAGCAATCAAGAATTTTCATTCAAAGCTAATGACCAGAAGTATGATTACAGACACACGGAAGTGGTTGTCCATCCTCATAACAATCCTCAGTTGTTTGAGGAATTTGGTTAATAGTGCTAATATCTACATTGAATTTTAAGGTATATATCCATATTTTCATTTTAAAAAGATACATGCCAAATAATTTTATCACCTCTAAACATTATTCCAAGAAGGGGTCTGTGACCTCTGCCTGACTAGAAAAGGGGTTCATAGAACAAAAAAGGTTAAGAAATGTTGTACTATACACTAACTTTTTGTATAATAAGACTTCAGGGAAGACTGTTAGATAGTTATACTGCATGGAGAATATCCTAATCCATCTTTATGTTGTGGTTTTCCATTCTGCTTTGACCAATCTTACTGGTTATTGTAACATTTAAAATATTTTCAATCTCTTGGAATAAGTATCACAAACTTATTTAACCTTTTGTTAACATATGATGATGCTAATGATTCAGTACATAGATCAGGTTGCAACTAGGGGACAAACAAGGCATGTGCCCTGGGTGCCAGTTAAAGGGAGAGCCAAGAAGAAAGGGTGTGTTAGATTAGAAATTAATGATTCCTCAATGCCTAGTTACTTTCCACCCATCCTATATAAGTTAATAGGCTGAATTTATACATTAAAATTTTTTTTCTATTATAAGGAAGCAGGAATTGATGTTAGACTTTGTGATATTGGAGAGGCAATTCAAGAAGTTATGGAATCATATGAAGTAGAAATTGATGGAAAGGTATATCAAGGTGAGAATTTTATTTTTCATTTTTTTAACTAATGTAAATTTTAATGAACACAATTCACATCAATCCATTTGTAGTTATATAAATCAAATTAACTTGAACTTTTCTTTTTTATTTGCATTATATATTTTATTTCTGCATTTAATAAAAACAAGTTGACTTCCAGTAATTCAAAAATTATTTTTCCTACTATAAATTTTGATTACATTGCCAAATATATAACAAATTATGAAATTTTTTTGTTCATTGTTTTCATATTTATTTTGACTTGCTAAAGTATTTTTCATTGAGATATAATATTAGATATCTTTGTTGATATAACAGAATAATTTGTTAGATATTTGATTACATGAGTACAAC